AATCCAACCAGCGGTTAACTAGAATTATGAGGATGCCAGCAACCAAAGCCGCTCCTAGTGAAGCGCGTGGCAAGACAGTACATCCCAGAAGCGCGCAGAGCCGAACCGAGGCCGAGAAATTAGACGGTGCAGGACAGTGGATCAACATGTGCACGCACGCGCGCGCACAAACACACACACAATTTTTTTTTCCATCCTCTGGCGAAGTGACGTCAGCGTCGGGGAAAAACAGTATGCGGCTGCGAACGAGCTAATTGCACCTAGCGTTGTGGATGGCCGTCAAGCTGGAGGCCCAGCCGGCCGTCGTGCAGGAGGACTGCTTTACGTTGCATCTTCGGGGGACCTTGCCTGCCCCCCAAACAGGTGTCTTTTCTTGATTCGACGCGGACCTGGCGTGGAATTGATGCGGACCCGACACGGATTCGACACGGATCCGACGAGTCCGACATGGACTCGACACCGATTCGACGCGGATAGGGCCGAGAGTGGACAGACAAGGTCCTCCCAGAATGCAGCATAAGATTGTTCGGAGTCCCGCCGTGGAAGAGGCCCGGCCTGCAGTGGGACGCGCGCGCATGCAGTGGCGTGTGGGGCTGGCGGGCGAGCGGCCAGGGTGCAGGGCAGAACCAGAGAGGCGCACTCAGACACACGTGCACTGCCCATGGGTCCAGGCCTCCTAAGGCCTAGATGGGGTCGGGGGTATCGCGCCGCATCGCCGATGCGTCGCCGATGCGGAACCCGATTTTCCCCGCGCCGACGTCGCCGATGCATCGCCGATGCATCGGCGATGTGTCGCCGATGTATCGGCGATGCGGGCGCGATCCTCCGACCCCACCTACTCCGACCCCATGTAGGAGGCCTCCAGACACACGTGCACTCGCCATGGGGGAGGCGGGTCCCGAGGGAAGCGGGCCCTGACGTTTCTCGCCGATTGTCGGGCTCTCGGTGCCTTCCTCGGGGCCCTCCGCGGGCCCCAGGACTGTCAGAAAGCGTAGCAGGATGAGAAGCTCGTCCTGGGGGGAGGCACCAGGGTCCAGGACCTGTGTCCCTCAGGACCCGCCTCTCCCAGCTGAAATTCACGCAGACACGCCTGAGCACATCTACACACGCATTCACCAGCCGCTCCCAGCGCAGTGGCGGATGTATTCGGCCACAGGGAGGCAGATGAGCGACGGAAGAATTTGCGGGCCGACTGCACGGACTCTGGCACGCAAGTTCGTCCTCTTGTCCACGTGGTGTGCCACGCTTGCTGCCTGCGTAGGCCACCGCGCAAGGCCGCCATGCTGGCGCGCGTCAGACCCCGTGTCCTTGGGGACCCAGATGGGTTCTTGCATGGGACAGCAGCCAATGCGGAAGGGACCGCCGTGGATGGGCACTTTCAATTGTTAAACAATTCGGATGCCAAATATTTGTTTTTCGCTTTCTGGCCAGGGTTTGGTCGCACAGCGAATGTCGCGAATATGTTGCCGATCTGTGCACAGTGTCGTCTCGGGCTTGTGATCAGGGTGCGAGCTGCAAGTTGCCTCTGCACAGTGAAGCATCGTGAGGTCTGTGGCAGTGGTCTCCTGAGGGGCGATGCAGGAGCAGAGTACAGCTTGCGAAAAGACAGCAGCAGGTACAGGAGGGGAGAGAGAGAGAGAGAGAGAGAGACAGAGAGGGATAGAGAAGGACAAGTGGAGTGATGCCGAGATGCGCGCTGTGCGAGTGGTGTTAGGGGAGGTGTCGAAGTATCCTACGGTCCTCACTGTGCGCAAGACCATATTCCACATTCTGTTTTCTGATGCGCTGATTGTTGGTTGCACAAGGGACAGAAGTATCGATGTGGCGACGTCGTGCAATATCATTATCTAGCCAGGCTTGAGAAGTAGCCGATGCATGCTTCTGGTATCTGCAGTGAAGCAGTTCGCGGCATAGGGTGGGACAGATACAGGGCGCGGCAGTCACGAGGTGTCCCTCAATCTTAGCTTGCCAGGCCTTGAAGTCAGGCGGCCTTGCCACGAAGCGTCCATATCAATTTTCCTCACTGAACTTACTTGCGGTGCCAGGGACACCGTAGTTTGCAGACAGGTTGAACTCTTGTTCAGGAATCGCATCCTCCTGCAAATTATCGTGGTTTGGGTGGGGCGTACTTCGCCCCGTCCCCCTTCCCCCACCCGTCCCCTCCCGCTCATCCCTGTTCCCTTTCTCCTCCCTCTCTCCCTCCTTCCTCTTCTTCCTCCCTCCTTCTGCTTTTCCTCCTCCTCCTCCTTATCCTCCTCCTCAAAGATTCTGGCCTGATCGGCGCCTTGTACGCAGGCTGGATTCAGACAGTGGAGGCTTCCATATCGGTACATCACAAGCAGGTTTTCTCTGGGGCCTCGCGAGCAGACACACCCCAGTTTCAGATTGCCACGGTACGCCAAGCGACTCCGACGAGGATCGCACCGCTACGAGATCACACCAGCAATTGGTGGACCAGGGTTGCGACGATCATCAGTGGAGTGGCTCGACACGTTCGAAGAGGTCGGGGCACGAATTAACTTCTCATCTTGCACGAAGCGGGGCGGAGGCTACTGGAGGACACCAGAGCAGGCCGCCCACATCGTTCGACCCACGGACAGATACACGTGGGAGCAGTGGTAATTAGGATATCTTTGCCCGGCTGGCAGTCCTCGAGATTGCTGAACTCGACGCCAGCTCCCAAGCAGCTGAGCGGTTCGCCCAACGCAGTCAACGCCGAGCCCTCGGCAAAGCGATGGGGGAGTTCCGAGAGTGGGCCGGGACAGTTCCAGCATTCTGTAGTCTCCACGAACAGATTCGTGATCCACAACCCGAGGCTCGGGAGGTGGTGGTTAACGGTCAGGCTATTCTTCACCCGCATGATGTGCTGGATCATAAGAGTCAGGAATGACAACGGATTCAGCACGGTCGAGATGAATGAGTTGCAGACGCTATGTCATGATATTAGAGAACCCCTCTCACACCTGACGACCTGCGTGCTGCGCTTGGTCGGATTAATTGCAACTCGGGGATGGGAGTGGATCGCCTCAGCTCGCACGACTTGCTTCGCTTCCCAGAGGAAGCCTTGCTCGAGATGGCTTCTCTTCTGGGTGCCTGCGAGGCCACGCAGACCTGGCCTCATCAGGTGTTGCTCACGATCGGCACCCTTCTTCCAAAGAGTGCAGCTGGGGACAGGATCATTGGCTTGCTGCCGCACCTCCTTCGGGTGTGGTCGCAGGCACGCGAGCCGTACATCAAGCTTTGGACGTCCGAGTGCGAGGCGCACTGGGACGCCGCCATCACGGGGAACGCTGCCATCAGAGAGGTGTTCCTCAGAGCCGTTGACGAGGAGCTGGCGGTGCGTCTGCAGGCTCACCACGCCAACGCGCTCCTCGACATGGGGCAGTTCTACGGCACCATCGGTTGGATGCTGGTCGGCAAGGCGGCGTTCAGGCTGGGCTGTCCTGCAGAGGTGCTGGGGCTGGAGCTGTTGCAGTGCATGGCGGCACGCTGTTCACGCCAGTCTGCCACGTAGTCGGAGCCCTTCGCGCCACCCCGCTCGGTGGGGCAAGGGCTCCGAGGGGGCACCAGCTTCGCCAAGTGTGCAACGTATCACATCATGCAGCGCCTCACCACGGCGACATGTGAGTATGTCGCAGCGGCTCTGGATCGACGATCTCAGCCAGTCGGCGGAAGGGTCGAGGCACGCTGCTAGACAGCAGTGGGTCACACGCTTAGTCGGCACACGTACGTCCATGAAGGAAGTTGGCCTGAGTATTTCTCCGATGTCAGTTGTGGTCTGTACCAAGCTGGAGGACGCACAGGTCATTGTTCGCAAAGTCCGACGGCACGGATTTCACATTCGGGCCACGGGCCAAGCTCCCTGCCTCGGAGGCGACCTGGGCAGAGGGTCTCGGCGCGCACTTGCCACCAGGACCGCTCGCTTGCGGAAGCACCAGGCCCTGCACAAGAGGGTCCCCAAGTATGTTCGAGCTACTCGGCGCTGTGGGCTCACGGCTCGGTTGGAGCAGCAGGGGGGCCAGAAGGCAGGATCCTATGGCCACCGGCTGCACGGCGTCTTCGGGGACGTCATGATTCAATTTCGACGGAAGCTGGGCAACTCCTTGGTGCCTAGGATGTCGGGCAGGTGTCTTACGACGCTGATTGACCTCGAGGCCCCATGGAGGGGCCCAGCATACCAGCTGCCCCGCGAGTGCTTGCGGCTGTGGCTCTCGTGCTGGGGAAATCAACCTCACATCAGGAACGGTTTTGAATGTACCTGGCCTCAGCTGGTGCAAGGGTTATCGTCCTTTTATCCTGCGCAAAGGGCCAGGCACATTAGAAGCCCGCAAGGGGCAGTAATCTCATGCCTACTTCAGACGGGTTGGTCGCCGACCTCTCCCTCTAGTTGGACTAGACCAACCGATGCTCAGGGCACTTCGCACACATGGCAATTCAATGAGGAAGGCATGACTGGAGCCGGCAGCGTCGATTTCCCTGACGAGATCTTCGATGGGTTCTGTGGATCTGTGCACAAAGACTTCTGGCAGCGAGCCTCAGTTCACTTCGAGGGCATT